TACCTATTGGCCTTAGGTTAGTATATGCAATCATGGGATCCAGGCTTTCCTAGACGAAGCCTATTGCGAGATGGAGATGATCGGAAGACTATGTCAGAGCGACAAAATCACCAAGTACGCGTCTCAACAGAGAAATGTCAAGTGACGTTGGCGCATCGACCACAACATCAAATAGCTAGTGTGAACCTGGCGTGCTTACAGACAAGGCGTGCTGTGTTCAGGGGGTAGGAACATGGTTAGGCTCAGAGACTTCAACTTACTCCTCTTCCTCTTCACTCTCATCACTGGGCAGAGCAACAAGCTCTTCCTCCCCTTCCTGCTTTCTCTTACGGGAAGACATGGCCGAATTTGATATTGGGACGGCTAATTGGTGCAAATGGGGAAGCGTGAAGGCAGTTGGGATGGCCTGGTAAGGTAACGATGATGAAGAAGTAAGTAGGAAAGATGGGACAGGAGGCAAGAAAGAGAGGAAAGCTTGGGGGAGAAGAGGAAAGAAGGGGAGCGGGCGTGCGGTTGCGCCTGGGGAAAGGCTGCTCTGCTCGGGAAGGGGGGAGCGCAATGGGTAAAGCTGGGGGAGCTGGGGGGGAGTCGCAAAGGCGCAGAGGCGCAGAGGGGATTGGGATTGGATGGAGGGGAGCTCTGGGAGCTTTGCTTGCTTGCTTGCTTGCTTTACCTCCATTGCCTACCTACTTGGTAGGTACTATTGCTCGCGCAGCACCGGCCATTCCTCCCCCGTTTGACGGCGACTGCGAGCACTGAGAGGGAGGGTGGGTCATGCTTGGTGCGTTACAAGCGGCTGTGATAGCGACGAAGTCACTCTATGCGGTATAAGTGATGCAATGGTACTAGCCGGGCCATCATGCTGTTGGGGCTAGGATCATCACCAGTGAGCTTAAATTCTACTAGGCAGTGAGAAAAGGAACAAGAGAGACATAGACAGTCTGGACAGGCCATGGCTGCCACGGTACCTAGTAGCGTAGGTAGTGGTGCAGGTGGTGCATGTAGTGCAGGTGGTGCGGGTGGTGGTGCGAACTGGGTGATGCGTGGACCAGCGCGGTACATGGGGAGGAAATCCGATGGCTGGTTGGTCGGCCAAACCTTGGGGGAAGGAAACTGGAACTGGGGGAGCTGGGCTGGGCTGGGCTGGAGGGGAGCGGGAGAGCAGCAGCAGCAGCAGCAGCAGCAGCAGCAGGAAGGGAAAGCTCAGACCTCCGAGGTCCATGCCCTCACCCACCACCACCACCACCACCACTGCCATTACCACTACCACTACCACTACCACCACCACCACCACCGCTCACCCTCCCTGGATACATACCCGGCCTTACCAACCTGGGTACCACTTATCTCAGAAACAGACCACTTTTCTTTTGGGGGGGGGGGGGGGGGGGGGGGGCTAGGTGTGGCTGGCGCCACTGGATTCCGAAAAGTGGTCTGAGACGGCGATCGGACTCCTATAGGGGCCAAGGCAAACAAGTACCCCCTTATATACGTTTTGCCCTATAACTTTGCCAATACTAAAGATATTAAAAATCCGGCGACGTCCGGAATTAGCTGTCGACGAAGGCTAGCGACAATATTTGTTGCATCGTTATTATCTTGCGAAATGATAAAATTCTAGGCGAGTCCAGAACGACCGAAATCTTCTTTCGGGGTACCCTTGTTCGTTTTAAAGTTGGATTATGGCCAATCTTAATCGTATAGCTTCGTAAAATATACCAAAATGATCTCCATTGAGTTGCGACCTTTGAGGTACTTTCGGATTTCTTATAGGATAAGTATTCGTAAAGTTATGGGCGAGTGTTAATGCGGTATCTTTTCGTTTTCCATACAAACTTCTTTCGGGGTCAGCACTTTTTCGGATCGCCGTCTCAGACGTCTTTCCTGGACCATTCGACCCCACTAGCCACATACTAGCCACCACAAGCCACCACATGCCACCACAAGCCACCAGCGCCACCAGCAATTCCAATAAGTAATTAGGTCCAGGAAATACGTCTGATTCTGAGATAACCCCCCCCCTACTTACTTACTACCCGTCCGAGTATATATGAATGCATATATATCTACCTGCCTGCCTGCCTGCATAGTTACACGCCCAAGTATACTCGGCTCATGAACCATAACACCTCCAGAGCGCTACTTCGCGTTAACACCAGACTGCTATCACCGGCTAGAGTAACTATATTGCACGGAAGGATACCGATTGGCGAGACTTCTGTCGCCCCCTATAAAGCCTTCTTCTCGTCTTCCGCCACGAGGGACCAGCAGCAAGTGCCGGTATTGTTGTTATCACACAACCGTACTTTTCCGAGACAAGAACAACACTCCTCGGGGGGCGTATTAAGCCAGAAACAACCCGGATCCAGGATGTCTACTGTGAGTTGGGCGGCCACTTTTGACACCCTTTCTCTGCTATGCATTTGCCTTTCGACTAGATATCACGGGTGCCTATCTGCATAGATACATATATGCCATGCCCCCTTGCTCAATGTAGTGCAGTACTGCAAGACCACAACTTCACTTCTGGTCGATTGCGTGAAGGTGGTCTATAGGCACTCTCACCGAGATCAGGTGATCATGATGACAGACTACATGAACAGGGGTTCGGGGGTGATTATATTTGACCGGGCCCCTTCGCCCACTTGCCATCTTTCCCCCCCTTTTTAAATACTTAGTAGCGCCCTGATGAAACCGAGGTGAAGCTGAACCAGACTAACGCCGTGCGCTGCGATCTAGTACAAGAAGATCACCGACGAGACCGGCAACTTCAAGAGGCCGGACAGCTCGTTCCGCAACTGGATCTCCTCCGAGCCGGGCGCCAAGTTCCCGCCCGAGAAGGGCCGCTACCACCTCTACGTCAGCTATGCGTGTCCGTGGGTATGTCGTGTCCTGCTCTATCCCTCTCCCCACCCCTATCCCGCTATTTCTACCTTACTTTATCTTCCTCCTGCTCCTCTTATGACACCACCAGGTGCGGTGCAAGGCAGCGAGCACATGATGACTTGTGAAGCTGACGTTCGGAATCGGGGGCGTGAAATTAGGCCCATCGGACTCTCATTGCGCGGAAGCTGAAGGGCCTCGAGGACTACATCTCGTACTCGGTCGTGCATTGGCACATGGGCGAGAAAGGTACGTGCTTATTCCCTGCCTTCTCCCCCCCCCCCTCCTTCCCTTCCCTTCCCCTAACTAGATATTCCCCCCTATAATACCCGCCACACACGCACTACCCACTATACCAACCACTCTACTCACCACCAATAGGCTGGCCCTTCCCCAAGCCCGAGGACGGCCAGGACGGCGGGAGCGCGCCGGGCGAGAACGTGGTGCCGGACCCGCTGCCGGGCCACGAGGGCAACACGCACCTGCGGGACCTGTACTTCGCCGCGCAGCCCGACTACGCCGGCCGCTTCACCGTGCCCGTGCTGTTCGACAAGACCCTCGACACCATCGTCAACAACGAGAGCAGCGAGATCCTGCGCATGCTCGGCAGCGCCTTCGACGGCCAGCTCGCCCCGGAGTACGCTCAGGTCGATTGTGAGTTTGAGGCTTCTCCTTGATTTTGCGTTTCACTGTCCTCATTTATTTTTATCTTTATTTGTTTTATATTCTTCATTTCTTTTCTTTTCTTTCACTTTATTCTCGAAAGGGAGAGTAGGGTTCTTTCGCTCTTCTCCTCTGGAACTATCAATGTGACCATTGCTGTTATCTTGTCCATACCTACCATTCGCTGAATTTCGCTAACTTGGGAACGATCGAAGTGTACCCCGAGGCCCTGCGCGCCGACATCGACGAGGCGGGGAAGTGGACCTACGACGACATCAACAACGGCGTGTACAAGAGCGGCTTCGCCAGCACGCAGGAGGCGTACGAGAAAGCCGTTACAGTGCTGTTCGCGGCCCTCGACAGGTCTGAGAAGCACCTCGCGTCGTCAAAGGGTCCCTACTGGTTCGGCGACAGCATCACGGAGACGGATATCAGGATGTGAGTTTTCGAGCCCCCTTTTCTCTCTCCTTTCTGTTCGCTTTACCTTGCACCCGAAGTCTTCATCCGATTCTCTCGTCTCGTGAAGGCAGGAGTGTGACACGAGCTAGAGCTAATTACAACTGTTTTCTCTGCAGGTTCGTGACAATGATCAGATTCGATGTAAGTCTTTTGCCCTCTGGCCCCTTTCTTCCCCCCCCCCCCACTCTATTATGACATGAACGACGAAAAAAAGCCTAACTTGGTCACCTTCCCGGCAGCCCGTCTACGTGCAACATTTCAAATGCAACATCCGCGACATCCGCTCGGGCTACCCGCACCTGCACAAGTGGCTGCGGAACCTGTACTGGAACCACCCGGCCTTCCGGGACACGACCAACTTCGTCCACATCAAGAGGCACTACACCAGGAGCCACCCCCAGATCAACCCCCACCAGATCACCCCGCTCGGCCCCGTGCCCGACGTCCTGCCCGTGGACGAGGAGGTCCAGGCCGTTCAGGCTGCTGCTGCGCGATAGGGGGATAGGTAGATTGGTGAGGGAGGGGTCCCGTGGCTGCTGCGTGGTCTGGGGGTTAGTGAGTGAGTGGTGGTGGGCAATGAATGGGCAATGCCACGCCGTGTTGACTAGTAACTGGTAAACTAGATGGCTTGTTTTCGGCAGCTGGTTGGTGACTAGGGAGGTAGGGAGGTGAATGAAGCTGCTCGACAACGGACGATGCGTCGGTGGTTGTTGGTTACCTATGATGAGTATGTCGAATCCTCTCGAGGTCTATCTAATATCTACATCTGTAATCTATGAAATTGGGAATACGTCTCGTCTGTATACATGAGGATATGCTACCCAAACGTATAATTCCGGAGGTCGTCGACGAAATCTCCGGAGAAAGGGTCCAGCTCCACATTGGCCCGGCAGCTGGATTGCGGGGCTTTCGGGGATTTCGGGGATTTTCGGAGCCGGAAATATAGTAACAGATTGTGCGGTATAAATCTAACTCACTAGCTTGATTGGTGAAATGTCTTCGTGGCTCAGTTGGTTAGAGCGCCGGTCTCATATAAAGGAAAACCTTATAGTTCCCTATCCAAGTATGAAACAGTCTTAAGACTGGGATATCCGGAGATCGCCAGTTCGATCCTGGCCGAGGACAGTTTTTTTGCTATTCTTGCACCTTTTTGCTTACTCACTTTTTGTTATCACTGTCTGCATGTTCAATCTTTTTTCGCCTTGTCTTCAAGGTTGTTTATGCATGGTTCATTCCCGCCTAGGGGAGAGGGGGTTCTCATGTTGGGGTGAAAGATGAGGGGGCGAGGGGGCGCGGGGGACTACCCTTTATGCCTTCACGCCTTTACACATTTACGCCTTCATGTGATGAGGGGACATTCTCATGCGGTAAAGCACAGCAAGTAGGCATTATGTATGTAGCTGGCATATTACCAATCTGAAGAATTATGATTCTCTTTTTCGTCTTCACTCTTAATATTATGAAATTAAGCATTACTGCTTCTGGCTAGACTAGAGCAGAAGCCCCCTCACTCTTTACCTACCTGGGTATCAAAGTACCACGGACCACGGACTTTTTGTTTCTTTCCGACGAGCACCTGCATACAGTTAGTTAAGCTAGTCTGCCCCGAGCTGCCGAGTTTCACCCTTCGTATTCGTATCGAAGGCAGCGCCGAATCGCGTAGGGCAATTAGCGGTGACAGTGGGTCATTCAGGGACCAGTCTGCGATGATTGGCGGGTTCCCAGTCGCGAATGCGCCCATCTCCTTCACTTGCATCGCATTGCATCACTTTTAAGATCAAAGCCCAAGTCTAGCAGCTTGAACCATGACCGGTAATCCAACAGTCCAGCCAGCAGTCCAGCAGTCCAGTAATTTGCTCGGGAAACAGCGAAGCGCGGCAGTCCAGGCGGGAAAACCACAACCTTACGAAATAATCGTACGGGAAACAGATCATACCCAGGTAGGGTGGATGGCTCAGCCGAGCCTGTGGGAAAGCCTGTGGGAATCGCATATCAAAAAGTTGTTGATGCTCATCTCTTATCTTGCTAGCGTCGCAGCAGTTATTGGCGGTTATTTGCGACCTCCAGGCTGGGACTGATGCGCTGGACTGCCAACTGCTCCCATCCGCCTCGGCAACCACCTACTACATACTTAGCAAGAAGACATCCATGAATATTAGCAGATACTTGCCAGATCCAGTACATCCCCTCACGTCACGCCGTAACGGGTATGTAACGGGATGCCGCCATGGGCTGGCGCTGTCAACCTTTGGGTTCATATTGGGGCATATTGGAGATTGACTAATGCAGAAATCTTGGGGCTAGCAGCACTGTAGTAATAGTGGGGGTAAAACCGACAATCAGCAATTGGACAATCTGTGAACTGAAGCCTAGAATGACAGCTTCGATAACGATCACTCTCATTGGTTCCACAGCTCGAACCTGCACCTTCGAGGCCTGTACCTTCAAGGCGCAGTCCAGCAGGTATACCTGATATGCCTAATAGTATATACACAGGGTGTACCTTCGGCTACGAACCCCCTGTTCAACTCCTCACCCAAATAGGTAATTCAATGGCCATCTACTTGTATGTAGCAATTGTACAAACTGCCTGGGTAAAGGAGAGAATTCACGTCAGCTGGACCCCCTATATAGGAGAAATAGGCACGTAGGTATCTGCATGCTTCCTGACTTCTCACATCCATGGCTGGTTTCATGAACGGGCAGTATTGTAATCCACTATGAACCACAAGCAAAGCAAACCCAAGTGGGTAGGGGTCCTGGGTCCTTCTGAGACGGCAAGAACATTAAACAATCGACCGACCAGGGGAAAAAACAAGACGATAATGGCCGTATGGCTAGCGATGATAATTTCCGGCTATCCCGCTCCAGAGTGTACTACGGAGTATGAGCGTACGGTAATGTTCCTGGTATGTAGGCAGTATACACTGGCTTCCATATACATAAGCACATATTTGCATTGACTACGGGTGCTTATAACTATGCACTGCTGTTTCCACAGCCGGTAGTACTGTAGAGAAACAAAACATTAGAACAGTTCATTCCTCTATAGTAAAAATGCGACGCGGAAAAGGGAGAGCAAAAATGTAATAAGAAAAGAAGCAGAAGCAGAAAAAAAAAAAAGAGATAAAATCACATTACACACGTACATAGTAGTCTGTAAGTACAATCCAGGTTGCGCCAGGACCCCTGACTTATCGATTGGTCAATCCGGCGCCGGGGTACAAATTGTACAATACCATTCCCTGGAGGAACTAGGTAACTAGCAGTAAGCGGAAGACTAAAAGGCTTGCCAAGGTAAACACTACTTTAAGGTTGCTGCTGCTTACTGCGGGTTCTCAACGAGAAAAAGCACTAAAACCCTCCCCTTCCCTCTCCCCTTCTTCTCTCCTCTCGGGAAGCGAGGAAAGAATTCCTGATTCTTGACCACGGTTACGAACCACTGCGACAACGACGACCACCAGCCATGTCGTCCAACGCTACCATTTTTACCTCGCCTCTGGCGCATGCTGGAGCTTCCATCGGTAGCTTACCACCTCAGGTCGACCTCGTGCTCGGTGCCATCACCAATGCTGGCATCGCAACATGGCTCTTTACCATCCTCGCGTTAGCCGTCGCATACGACCAGAGTAAGTTCTTACAGTCTTGCCTCGAGGCTGCTCAGGAGCTTTCGGCACGTTGGCTCTCTGTTTCCCGTGTTCTAACCACCATCACCGCCTCTAGTCAGTTACTTGCACCAGAAGGGCTCGATTGTCGGCCCTAAGTTCAAGGAACCCTTCGTGGGCCCCTTTCTCCAATCCCTGAACCCCAAGATGGAAGAGTATATCGCCAAATGGAAGAGTGGACCTCTCAGCTGCGTCTCGGTTTTCCACAAGTAAGTAACGCCCAATTCTCGTTGATCACCCGGCTCGTGTGTCATGGCCCGGTGCTAACATGTTGACTAGATTCGTTGTCATTGCCTCCACTCGCGACATGGCCCGGAAAATCTTCAACTCGCCCAGCTACGTTAAGCCTTGCGTCGTCGACATTGCCACTAAAATTCTCGGGGAGTCCAGTTGGGTGTTTATGGACGGGAAGGCCCACGTCGACTACCGTAAGGGATTGAACGGGCTCTTCACCCGTCGCGCCCTCGACGCCTACCTGCCCGGCCAGGAGGCTGTCTACAACACCTATTTCAAGAGATTCCTGCAGGTCACCAAGGACAACGGGGGCAAGCCGTATCCCTTCATGCACGAGTTCCGGGAGGTCATGTGCACCGTCTCGCTGCGAACCTTCGCCGGCTATTATATCCCGGACTCGGCTCTTAAGAAGATCGCGGATGACTACTACCTGGTGACGGCCGCGCTCGAGCTTGTCAACTTTCCCATCATCATCCCGTATACGAAGACCTGGTATGGCAAGAAGGCTGCCGACATGACGATGGACGAATTCGCCAAGTGCGCAGCCAAGGCCAAGGTTCGCATGGCCGCTGGCGGTGAGGTCACCTGCATCATGGACGCATGGATCAAGGATATGATCGACTCGCGAATCTGGCGCGAGGCCACCGAGAAGGGCCTCTCCACCGAGGGCCTGAACAAGCCGTCGCCGATGATCCGGGAATTCTCGGACATGGAGATCTCGCGGACCATCTTCACCTTCCTGTTCGCTTCCCAGGACGCCACCAGCAGCGCCTGCACCAACTTGTTCCAGGTCTGCGCTCAGCGGAAAGACGTGCTGGACCGGGTCCGCGAAGAGAACCTTCGCGTGCGCGGCGGCGACATCCACGCGCCCGTGAACATGGACCAGCTCGAATCGATGACCTACACCCGCGCGGTCGTGCGCGAGCTCCTGCGGTGGCGGCCCCCGGTCATCATGGTGCCCTACATGGCCAAGAAGGCGTTCCCCATCTCCGAGAACTACACCGTCCCCAAGGGTGCCATGATCATCCCCACGACGTACATCGCGCTGCGCGATCCCGAGATCTACGAGAACCCCGACGAGTTCGACCCCGAGCGGTACTACTCTGGAGACGCCGAGGAGAAGGGCTCGAAGAACTACCTGGTCTTCGGTACCGGCCCGCACTACTGCCTGGGCCAGCACTACGCACAGCTCAACCTGGTGCTGTGCCTCGGAAAGGCGTCGCTGCTCCTCGACTGGACGCACCACCCTACGCCGGTGTCTGAGGAGATGAAGGTCTTCGCTACTATCTTCCCCAAGGTAAGTCGGTGATCGCACTCCCTTGTGACACTTCCTCAGCTTTGGCTTGGATTTACTAACTATTTTCTCAGGATGACTGCCCCTTGACCTTTGAGGAGAGGAAGTGGTGAAAGTAGACGGAGAGCGAGTTTGGGTTGCAACGGGTGGCTTGCTTTGTCTGCACCAGACAGACCTGCTTGCTAACGTCTAGAATACAAGGGGTTTCCACTTGACGAGAAGCGAGATCTAGCCTTGGTTTACTACAATGCACACCTCAGCAGATAAACACTAGGGAGGAGAAGCATAGAATTAATAGTAATGACGATCGAGGATGTCAGGTGGGGGGGATGATTATTCAGGAGGGACGGCGGTGTTTCTAACGACCATGATGCTTGAGATATACGTTGTGGCGACCCGTCGATAAAAAAGCCCCCCTTATATCATCATTGTCTTGGGAGGCTTGGTCTTAATTGGGTTGGGGGGGCATGGCACGCGGATGGGATGGACGGTTTGGAACCAAGGGGGGAGGAGGGTTTATGTCAGCTTCCTGTAGGCATATGTAGTATAAGCAGTCAAGGCTTAGAAACAAACATTCTGACACTTAAAAAAGGGTCTTCGGGAAGATGCAGTTGGTTGTCATTTGTACGAAGGTATGATATCAGAGCCCTCCTCACTCGCCTAGCTGTCTGGCTCGCTGTCTGGCTCGCTATGTGTGCTGTGAGCTCTTAAGAGCTAAGTATTGTACATACACACCTACCTATGCTGCTCCAATCTTAGCGCCTTGGAGCCGGCGGGCAGTTCAGTGTGACATCAGACCCCGGAATTCTAACCGACCAGCCAACAACATCGGAGCTCTAGTTAAGAATCGATCGCATCGCATCGCATCGGAAGTTGAGTGGGCGACATACACACAGACAGACTTCCGGCAAAAGTTACACGGCCCCCTTTTT